AAAGATAATCAGACTGGTGAGGTAATTTTCTGCTCTGGAATCCCCGATATCTAGTTGGTGATGAAGGCATAATGGAGGTGCCGGGGCAAGATTTCTGGATTAAAGTTGTGAATAAAGGAAGGAGGGAAGGAGGGCGTATGGGATATTTTGGAGTGTCAGAAGAAGAAGAAGAAGAAGAAGAAGAAGAAGAAGAAGAAGGTCCCCACTCAGGTGACCGAGGGAGGGGGGGGTCACTTACTGCAAGTGAGTGACACTGTAAAGGTTGAGGGAAGAACGTGATTGGTCACAGATGATGTGGCTGAACGGTGTTGTCGCCAGAGATCACGAGCCGAGGTGACACGCACACGCGCACGCACACACACAGGGAGAGAGATAGCATTGTTTACATGTATATCAGTACAGGTGGAGGAGCAGGAATGAGTCTAATAACAACTGACACTGTAAAGGCTTATATAAAGAGGGATTTATTGTCCTTTATATAGACCAACCAGAGTATTAACTTTTAAGCCGTTATAGATTTACACATCCTGAAAAATAACAGAAAACAAATTAATTCTGTCTCTCTGTCAAACTAACCAAACCGATTGTCTCAAAAGCCAAACAGATCACGTGGAATAGATTCTGCCTACATGTCTGTCTGTCTGTCTGTCTGTCTGTCTGTCTGTCTGTCTGTCTCAAAGTTGACGTAGTTGTGGTTATGAAACAAGACGAACAACAATATAAGTGACACAATACAGACGCTGTTGATGCTGAAAAAAAAATCAATAAATTTTTTTTTAACCTGTACGTGGCACACTTTTGACTTGCCATCACACATATCACTAGAGAGAGAGAGAGAGAGAGAGAGAGAGAGAGAGAGAGAGAGAGAGAGAGAGAGAGAGAGAGAGAGAGAGAGAGAGAGAGAGAGAGTGAGTGATCCTCCCACCTGACGCAGGATCAGAGATAGAGGGCGTCGAGGTTTTCATCACCTTGTCATTGGGTTTCCTCTAACAAAAACTGCAATGGTACGACACGAGAGATTTTCCAGGAAGTTTGAACTGGTTTTGTTACGCCTGTGAGCTTTTGGGGTCAGAGTGGTGTGAAGACTGGTGTGTGTGTGTGTGTGTGTGTTAGAGACAGAGAGACAGTGACAAACAAACAGAGAGAAAGAGACAGACAGCCAGACAGACAGACCGAGAAACAGAGAACGAGAGTATATACGATAAAAAACAAAAAGTGAGGAACAAAAGTGAGAAACAAAAGGGTATTCAAACACAAAAAACCCCCCACAGATATTGGAACAAAAACAAACATAAATAAACACATCCAAACAGTAAAACAATCACAAACACAATACAAAAACAAACACAAACCATCACCTCTGCCACACGAAAAAACAAGAGATTATTCTGCAGGTGTGGGAGAGAACATACAGGTGTGTGAGAGAACATACAGGTGTGGGAGAGAACATACAGGTGTGTGAGAGAGAACCCAGGTGTGTGCAAGAGAACTCAGGTGTGAGAGAGAAAACCCAGGTGTGTGATAGAAAACCCAGGTGTGTAGGAGAAAACCCAGGTGTGTGATAGAAAACCCAGGTGTGTAGGAGAACATACAGGTGTGTGAGAGAAAACCCAGGTGTGTGCGAGAACATACAGGTGTGTGAGAGAATACCCATGTGTGTGAGAGAAAACCCAGGTGTGTGAGAGAACATACAGGTGTGGGAAGAAAACCCAGGTGTGAGAGAGAACATACAGGTGTGGAAGAGAAAACCCATGTGTCTGAGAGAGAACCTACAGGTGAGATAAGCCACATTAACAGGTACCGTATTTCTCCCTCACCAACAAAACCTTGACTACACCAACAAAAATATCGGGTCTATTTTTCCAGTCATAAGTAACTGAGGCATAATGGTGGAACAGATCCTTATTGACTAAAATATATATGTACACAATCTAGAGAATATTGTTATTATTTTTTTTTATCATACTAAATAGAATATTATAATTATTGTATGTGAAATATCTTATAGTATTAACATATTTATAACGAAAGACTATACTCAATAATATACAGAGGCTACTTAATGCAACACTAATGACGGTCCTTTGAAACACTGGCGATTACGAGGCAGGTTAAGTGACGTGGAAAAATGAGTAGCCTAATTAAGTGACCATTGAGTGGAAAATATTAGGGATAGTTAGGCTAAATATATGTCTCTGAAGACCATAAATGAGAGGGAGACTGACAGTGGTGGTGATGGTGAGTTGGGGGTGGTGCTCCTCCTGTAGTGTTGGAGGAGGGAGGTTAGATGGTAGGTTGGGAAAGAGGGAGGGAGGGTGAATGGTAAGAGGGATTGGGGGGGGGGGTGGATAGAACAGGGGGGGTGGAGGAGGGGGGAGGAGGGGGTGTGTTGGAGAGAGGAACAAGAACGAAAAAGAGGGTGTTGGAGAGAGAGAGAGAGAGAGAGAGAGAGAGAGAGAGAGAGAGAGAGAGAGAGAGAGAGAGAGTACAGTGAAACACCGGGGTTCACAGGGCCACACGTCTCCTCAGTTGCTGATTGGCTGCTTCACCCACCTCAAGAATATATTCGACTGCTGATTGGTTGATTCACTAATAACACGGAGGGATTCGACTGCTGATTGGGTGATTCACTTTTGACACGGGTAGAATCGGCTGCTGATTGGTTATTTCATGTCCGCCGCGACCCCACATGGATGCTGATTGGTTGTTCCACAAGTGCTCCACCTATCTTCGGACGCTGATTGGTTGCTTCACGTGTGTCAGGGAAACATTTCACCGCTGATTGGCTGTTTCACGCCTTTGAAAGCTATATTTCGCCGCTGATTGGTTGGCCACAAGACTGCCAGAGCTGTATCTCTCTGTTGTCTTGTTGAGACGATAACAAGAATAGTGTGTGTGTGTGTGTGTGTGTGTGTGTGTGTGTGTGTGTGTGTGTGTGTGTGTGTGTGTGTTAGTATTTGTAATCACAGGCGACCTGTGGTGTAATGGTCAGCATTCTCGCCTCGCAAGCGAGCGGACACGAGTTCGACACTAAGACAGGGTGAAACTATGGACAAGTTTCTTTACGCCATTTGCCTCTGTCTATCCAGCAGTAATTGGGAACCTGGATGTTAATCGATTTGCAGATAGTATTCCGGGGTAATGGTTAGCCAGTGCAGTTGGCAAGTTGTCCGGTCTTCTCGGACTATTCCTTGGCACTGGGTCATGCAGCTCGTTATCTTAGGGTGTGGTTGTTGTGTTGGCGACAGCTTCTACACCTTAAATAAATTCACGCCTAGGTGGCCCTTGGGCCGGCCATCCTCGTTACACGAGGGGCATCCATTATTATATTTGTAATCACGAATAAAAAAACTAAATCATTATCAATCAAGTCGGAAAAATTGGAAATTAAAATGAAAAAAAAATAACGGACTAAATATCTACAAGAAAAATAAATAACATTGGAAATAACGTAAAACACTGGAAATTATGAGAGATAATAGGGCAATAAAGCCCCTAATCCTGAGTTACAAAGACGTTGAGTTATAAAAGAGTTATAAAGTGAAATTAGAAGATTAGTAAGCTTATGTATTTTTTATTTTTTAATTAGCGGTAAATCAAATAAAAGCGAATGTTACTAGGCGGCCAACACACTGTTTTAATAATGTAGTGTTTACTGAAGCACTGTATGTAGAGGAGTAGAGAGAGAGAGAGAGAGGGGGGGGGGCAGACAACGTACAGAGACAGACAGAGAGAAGCAGGGAACTGGACACACACACACAAAAGAGGAGAAACAAGTGTGTGTGTGTGTGTGTGTTTTACCAGGACCAACAAAAAGCTTACGTGACAGGGAGGTTTTAAGGCACTTGTGCGGTTCACCGACAAAGAAACATCTCCTTTAATACCCAAGTTAAATATACAATCTACCTGGGGAGGGACACGCCAGGTGAGACCCGTGTCAGCTGGCCACACTGACACACTGCTCTCGTTAACTCACTCACTCTCGTGTTTAACCAAAATTACTCACAACATCAAAAGTGCAATATCATTTGTGACAACACTTATGGCAGTGGAGTTGTGTATATATGTTGATTATTACGTGCGAGTGAATTATACAAACTGTGTAAAACATTTCCAACTTATATTCCGCCATTTCTGAACTGACTGGTGGATGTGTCTCTCAAGTGCAGGTACTGGCAGGTGTTGACTAAACCTTAGCCGCTGCAACACTCAGAAACCTTTTAGGAAATTACCTGTACGACACATGAGCCATCCATCTTAGTGTCTGCAATATGTCAGTCATGAATTTGCAAAGTGTGGCGTTGCCTTGTCATACTCTCGTCCCAACGTGAACTTTGCAACAAGCAGACAATAAGGCAGCGTCAGGGGACGACTGGGTACGCCCTGAAGCCTGCAACAGCCTTTAGAAATGTTCGGTGGTGATGTCAGGAGGCAAGACGCTGCCGTTAGAAACTTTACTGCGAAAAACTGGCATAATAAAAATAACGTGTTGATGTGGACGAGTCTGTGAAACTACGACACAGAAGATGAAGAACTTTGTCGGGTAAGACGACTGCAGTAATTGAATCTCTCAGACAAAGACTTCCAACTTAGCAAGAACTGGATGGTAACAGAATAAAATTGATAAGTGTCGCAGGAAAAAGCTTGTAAAAAAATAATACCGGTAAGATTGACAATAACACGACTGTCAACATTAAGATATTAAATAAGAGTCTGTTATATATATTGTGGGGAATGATTACCTGTATAAATAGAGGAGAACAGAGGTAAGTGCTGTTGTGAGTGAATGTCAAGAACAATTAAGCAAACCAAGAAGAATTGACTTAACTTTTGCTGTTGGAAAGGTCAAGGACAATTAGGTAAGGGAATAATGAAAGAAAAAGAAAAAAATTGAGATAAGTTAATTACATCTGAGTGAATGAGTTAGTGAAAGTAAAAGGCATAAAGAAATGTATTAGATTAAGTGTGTAGCTGAGGCACCTGTCTCTGATGAACAATTTATGCAGGTAAATCTTCTATTCCCTGAGACGTACCTGTTGGGTCATTTCTCGAACAAAGACCACGGCGGCAAAGACTACGACGGAAAAGACCACGGCGGCAAAGACCACGACGGAAAAGACCACGACGGAAAAGACCACGACGGCAAAGACCACGACGGCAAAGACCACGACGGAAAAGACCACGACGGAAAAGACCACGACGGCAAAGACCTCGACAAAGACCTTGACAAAGATCACTACGGCAAAGACCTCGATAAAGACCACGACGGCAAAGACCTTGACAAAGACCACGACGGCAAAGATCTCAACGGCAAAGACCTCGAGAAAGACCACGAAGGCAAAGACCTCCACGGAAAAGACCTCCACGGAAAAGACCTCCACGGCAAAGACTACGACAAAGACCTTGACAGATAAAGACCTCGACAAAAACTTCGACATCAAAGCTGAGTCGGAAATCTAAGGGTTTTTTTCCGAAGACAAGAAGAAATGAAAAAATTAGAGAATATAGAATAAACCTGTATTAAGGAAATGGTGGAGAAGAATGTTATAAAGAGTTAGAGGAATAGGAAGGGAAAAATATGAGGTGATGGGAAGTATTTGGTCGTATTGATGGTGATGGGAGAGTGAAGGGGCAAGGGACGATAGGAATAACTATGGTAGTGTGTGTGTGTGTGTGCGTGTGTGTGTGTGTGTGTGTACAAACAACAACAACCTTCACCCAAAAAGAAAATAATTTACTGTGTTCTCTGCCTTGAGAAATATAACACCATCCTCGCCAGCAGATATTTTTCTCAAACAACTTACCTCCTCTTCCTCCTCCTCTTCTTCCCTCTCCTCCTCCTCTTCCCTCTCCTCCTCCTCTTCCCTCTCCTCCTCCAGCTTCCCCTCCAAATCTGTCTCAAGACGAGCACCAAACACTCCTCCTTGACCGACGTACACCCCACAAGGACAACATGATGCTGAGGTCTTGACTAAATTAAACACTGGATGATCTAATAATAGGAATGTTAATTACACTTATCCATTCAAATCTCTAAACCTACCAAGTCAATTAATGCAGCTTCGAAACATTGCAAGATAAAAAAAATATATATTATTTTACGTTCTTACATCTCTATTTACGACGAAAAAAAATCACTTACGACATTTCCCAACTCCAGAAAGGTGATTTAAATCAGGAACATATATTCCAGCATAAAACTCTGAGCAGATTGAAAATTATATTTGATCTTGAGGGAAAAATCTTGTTTCTAAATTTTCAAATCAAGTTTGTGTGTGTGTGTGTGTGTGTGTGTGTGTGTGTGTGTGTGTGTGTGTGTGTGTGTGTGTGTGTGTGTGTGTGTGTAAAAAAAAAAGTGTCTGAGTGAAGGTAGTGATATAATATCTTGTGTTGTAAGCTTTATGATAAAATTCACAATATAAACATCAGGGTGTGGGGAGGGGGTGAGGCGTGGAGGGTACGGGCTGAAATATGTAGAGAGAGAGAGAGAGAGAGAGAGAGAGAGAGAGAGAGAGAGAGAGAGAGAGAGAGAGGTAATAACACTATTGCCTGTGAGAATATACATCTTAACATACTACAGCAGTTTATGAGTTTCTGAAATAATGTGGTTCCAGTCTTATAAGATTTTCAACAGAGAACATTATGTATTTTGACATAAATTCAACTCAAATAAAAGTTGTATAAAATTTTTGAATATCTTAGCTTATTGTTATTATTTGGTGTAAGGGAGTTGATATAGTGTTTATGAGAGTGTACCAGAGGTGTATTATATAAAGTGCTGTATCTTCTACCTTTATAATCCTGCTGTAAGCTTATAGGATCAGTCTTCTGAACTATCATCCTTGTTAGGGCTTAAGGCGTATCCATTATTATTATTATTGTTGTTGTTATTATTATTATTGTTGTTATTATTATTATTATTATTATTATTATTATTATTATTATTGTTGTTATTATTATTATTGTGTTATCATCATCATTATTATTATTATTATTGTTGTTGGTTTTGTTATTATTATTATTATGTTGTTATTATCATCATCATCATCATCATCATCATTATTATTATTATCATTATCATCATTATTATTAATATCATTATCATCGTTAATATTATTATCATTATCATCATTATTATTATTATTATTATTATTATTATTATTAAAATCATCATCATTATTATATACTAACAACACACCAGTGATAAGAATATTTAATTACCCAAAAACTTGGCAAAGAAAAATAAAAGACACATTTATTATATAACATTACTGTGACACGATGCCCGGAGCTGCACTATTATATTTCGCAATTCAGAATTATTACCATGAAATTGTTCTCGATTCGTTTCTGTTAAATCAAGAAATTCTGCAATATCTAACGGACCAATTTAATTCCTCGGATTTTCTGCAACTCTTGGGAATTTTGCAATGAGAGGGGGTAAGTTCTGGTCCATATATATATATATAGAATTGTGTTGATTTTTATGTTCTAAGCTGAAGTGTTTGTATTTTTGTCCTACTTTACGACAGGGTTTCTCTTATTTTGGAAAGTCTATGTACCTGAGCACTTGTAAATTAATTCGACTAAGTGTGCAAATGTGATTTATTTTTTTGGGGCGCTGCAAAATAAATATACTAAGTAGATGAAATAAAAAAAAAATTATTAATAATTTCTCTTCACATAAAAGTAATATTTTTCCCAAACCCAATTCCTCCTGGTAATATTTTAAACAGGAAAAAATATAACGTGTAACTTAAAATTTTTCGTTCAGGTTTATATTGTATTATTTTTAAGGCTATTTTGTTAAGGTTTAGTTTGTATTTTAAGATCTAGGTGAGCCCCTAATCTCCATATTGTCTTTGGAGACTGATAAAATTTATACATACCTCACGCTCGAAGTATTTCCATCAGTCAAGTCAGCAGAGGTATAAATTAGGCTGATTAGATACAGAAAAATAATTGAGGAAATGTGACAAAATGTACAGTGTGTGTGTGTGTGTGTGTGTGTGTGTGTGTGTGTGTGTGTGTGTGTGTGTGGGCGGCTAGTCCTTTGATGTCGCTCACCATCTTCAAGACACCAAACGTAATTATGATACTTAGTTACATTTTTTCTATATTTCTTATGACTTGGTGTAAAATGTAATTAACAGCTGTAATTAAATATAGTAATGCAATTTCTCCTCGTGTATGTATCAAGTAATGAAGTAATTAATATACTGTGTTATAAAGATGAATGAGAAAAGACATTTTAATAATATGGGTAAATTGTTTTGTTATTTTATAGTTGTCATCTATCAATTAAAAACTTGTTATAAGAATATTATTAAGTAAAACAAAACAATACACACACACACACACACACACACACACACACACACACTCAGCACAAGCCAGATGCCCAGCTGACTGAAGACCTCTTATGTATCACCAGTGCCCAAGTCAACCAGCCCACAATCCTTAAATCAGCTACGACCTATTGCAATCACCCCAATACCCAGCCTAATCTGTGAAAGTTTTGTGTTCGACTGGGCTTATGCTGATATTGCAGGAGTCGTAGACCCTCAGCAATTTGGCAACATGAAAACTTCCTCCACCACTCACTGTCTTGTCAGCTTTCTCGATTACATATACCGCCATCTCGAGAAACGAAAAACGTCTGTAGCTGTCGCCTTCATTGATTCACAAAGCTTCGACCTAGTCGACCACAATATAATCATCAACAAAGCTATTGACCTCGGGTTTTGGAGAAGTCTATACCATGGCTTACAGACTTCCTCAGTGACCGACGCCAAGCTGTACGCTTCCGAGGGGCTGTCTCCACCTTTCAGTCACTCACCTGTGGCGTCCCCCAAGGCACCAAGATGGGACCACTCTGCTTCCTTATGCCCATCAATGATGCCCTAAGAGAAACCCCTGCTCGCTGGAAATATGTCGACGACTCCACCATTGGGATCAGCGTCAACAATTCTGCTCCGAACTATACCGCCCTTCAGGATTTATTGAACAGTCTCCAAAACTGGGCCACTAACAACCATGTCACCATCAACCATACCAAGACCATGGTTATGCACATCAACCTCTCCTCCGACATTGTCCCACCTCCTTCCATTACTCTAGGTCCGAACACACTCCAGGTTGTAGATTCCACGAAGCTCCTCGGCGTCACCATAGACAACAAACTAAATTGGAAACCACACGTCAGTGAAGTTGTCAAATCCTCCAGTTTCCGTCTCCACCTCCTCCGCCGACTCAAGTCCTCGGAGTTCCTGCACGAGCTCCTCAGTGTTTACACAACATTCATACTTCCCAAGCTCACCTATGCCTCCCCACCTGGTCTTCCTCCTAAATGCCACACAACGTAAACACCTAGAAAAAGTGCAAAAGAGGGCATGCAAGATTATTCTCTCCCCTTCCTACTCCACATATCAAGAAGCGCTCAACACACTGACCCTTTCGACTCTCACTGACCATCACCACGACCTCATCTGCAAATTTGGTAAGAAGCTTCTACACCATCCCCGACACCGGCTCCTACTACCACCTGAGATCCCTTGTCCGAGAATTGCTGTTCGACACCACAACCGCATCCAGCCCATACGTGCACGAACTGATCGCTATAAGAACAGCCCAGTCCCAACCATTGTAAAATTTATCAATAACTTGTAATAAATCAGTGTATTCACTCCCAGTAAACACTGCTCCTTACACTGTCACTATGTTGAAATGAACTGTAGTTTGAGCTTTTCCCCATCTAGTTATTATATGTCTTATTTGTGTCACTTATGTTACTTGTATATTATTTGTAATTCGTAACCCATTCCCCAAATATGTAACTGTATATTTTCAGCCTTCTGGCTGCCAAGCTCTTTCAATAAACCGTTAATTATTATTATTATTATTATTACTACATACACACACACACACACACTACTACCCACACACACACACCACCCCCTCCACACATACTACCCCCCCCACACACACACACTGCACCCCCCCCACACACACACTACCCCTCCCACACACACACACACACACACACTACTCCCCCACACACACACACACCCTCCCCAACACCAGCCAGGTTCACTTGCATTACACCTAAAAGAAAAGTCTGCCACCATTTTTTTCCAATACCTGTGAAATCTTGCATCTCACCGGCTCTCTACTGAAGAAAAAAAATAGTGTTTCTTGTGAGCTCCGTGTGACCTGAGCGCCGCCGTGTTGCTTTGGTTGGGAACTCTCTGTAGACGTGAAGGGAAAGGTCAGAGTTGTTTACCTTGAATTGAGGGATCAGTGTTGGTTCTTTTTGTTTTGGAAGGAGATGTAGTGATAGTCTCATGATCTTAATGTAGTGGGTGGTGTGTAAGTCACTTTACTGAGAATAATTATTTGGTGTGTGTGTGTTTGT